TCTTTCCCTCCACCCTCCATCTTTTCCTCTCTCACTTTTCATGTAACCTTAACAGAAAGGCAGAGGCACAACTAATGCTTGAGCAAAAGCCACAGCTATTCACACTTCTGATTATAGTTAAATAAATGCAAAACATCTGAACAATTTTCCCTGAACCCACATTGGCCCAGTACAACCTATTGGTTAAAGTAATCTTGTTTCAGAAGAGGTTATCTGATTTACAGTATTCAGTCGTAGATAAATCATGGGTTTAAAATATTTCTTTAAAAAGGGGTATTAAAGTAATTTAGCAGCCAAAGTCTTGTATTTCAGGGGATGTTTTCTATAATTGCGAGCCTCATTTTTTAAAAAAAATATTTTTTAAAAAGTGTGTTCTAGAGGAATTTTATAAAACTCAATTCTTAGATGTCTGGTTGAAACCCTAACAAAGCAGAAAACTAGTATCTTGCAATTATCCTTCATTTTGAAACTCAGTGAAACCTTGCTTCTTTCTCATGTAACAGTGGGGGGAAAAAAATAGTCAACTGTAAGTGTAGTACATTTCAGTGAAAATAAACTGCTTTGTATTTTCATATAGTGTTCTAGTTTCTTCTCCTCCAAAAACATTCAAACTGAAAAAATCTGTTTTCCTATTATAAACTACAGATGAGTATTACTGCTACCCAAAAATATGCTGCAGACTAAAAGAATATTGCACCATGGTAACAAATGTAAAATATGGCTACATTTTCTTCAAATGTAGCATGCAATTACAGCATGTTAACATTCTGTATTATTCTCTAGTATAAACACCTGTACAATTGGAACTTTTACTCACTCTTTAAAACAGCAGAGATCCAAACATGGCTTGTAAGCAAGAGGATGAGGAAGGATCTCCCCCTTTAATCTGCCATTTCTGCAGAGGGAGATTTTTAAATAGAAAGTTACATTGTTCTTTCTTCCCCCAGTCACCCCTAACTGCCAATACGTCTGCCAAATTACCTAGCATCCTGCCAAAAGCCGATATTAACAGTATCTGAGCATAAGACACTCCCACCATCTTAAACACAGAACGAGTAAATTAAACCATGACACAACTCTTCACTGTATTCCATTATGTCTTAATATTTGGCTATAGGTACAGAATTTTCACTGTAGGGATTTTAGAGACAAAAGTTCATTTATTTAAAAACAACATTAAAAAAGAAAGGAGTATGCCACTAAAAGAACTCTATATCAGAATGCAAACAATTTTACGTGAAGATAGCTGACTCCTTTTCCTACCCAAGTTACCATTTCTGGTTCAGATTTCTTTTGCTTAACTTTCTATATGGTTCAGTTAAAGAAGGGCTATCAAGTTTCTACATCTACCACTAAGCAAAACCTTTACCAAATACATGAAAAGGTAAATAATAGCTGACTGTGTATGTTAACAGTCTAATTTTTCTCCAGTTTCTATCTTTCTTTAGTGACCAGTTCTTTAGTCAGTCTTTCTTTAGTCAGCAGGCACTCCGTTTGCATCTGAAAACGGCTTCAGTTTGTCTCCTAAAATTTAATCAGCCTAATTCCAACTCAATGGAATGCCATCTGACTCCATGAAGGGTAATTACTGATGTATTAAAGAATATTACTGATGTATTAATCAACATATTCCTGTACATTTTAGGATCTCACCATTTTTAAGTCAAAATGAAAGTAACTTTTCAAGTTATTCAAATGGAAACCTGAATATATATTAATCTGAATATATAGTGGCATATATTCTGATTGCAAAGTGACAGTGCTGCATTACCTAGTGGCACAGCAGTCCTACTACCAAGCACTTGCTCCTGCTTGAATGCTGACGTTCATTAAATGACGGATTGTTAACAGGCAGGGATTTTTATTTCAGAACTTGTAACACTCTTTTCACACCATTAAATACTACAAACATCTGGGTAGTCGATGACTTTAGGAGACACTCATGAAAGGAAACCGAACAGCTTTCTTGCTGCCTCCTAAAGCAGGAATACCTCTCCAGAAGCCGAGTCATACCCTGCCTCGGCTTCGTATAAGCCAATTGAAACACCGAGCGCGGAAAGTGACCGTCTCGCACTGCAACTCCAGTTTACCTTCTCTGCAATGCTGTATAGGACTTCATCCATTTTCATGCAGGTCGGGTCCCAGTCGTGCCCAAAGCGGATGACCACCACTCGGTCCTCTTCCGAGAGGATGGCCTGGTCCACCTGCCAG